GGCCTCACCGTGGGCTGCACCCGGGGCTGCGGGGGAATCTCTGCTCCGGCGCCTGGAGCCCCTCCTGCCCCTCCTGCCGCACCGGCCTGGGGCCTGCGGGGCTGCGCTTCTCACACGTTCTCACCCCTCTCTCCAGCTGCAATTGTGCAGGGTTTTTTTTCTTTTCCCCCCTTTTCTTAACTGTATTATCCCAGAGGTGCTACCACCATCACTGATGGGCTCGGCCTTGGCCAGCGGCGGGTCCATCTTAGAGCTGGCTGGCACTGGCTCTGCCTGACATGGGGGAAGCTTCTGGCAGCTTCTCACAGAAGCCACCCCTGTAGCCTCCCTGCTACCAAATCCTTGCCATGCAAACCCAATACATTTGTCAATGACCAGAGCTTATTTTCTGGGCAGGTTCAAAAATTTTTATTATATATATATACACACACACACACACACACATATAAGTATACACTTTTAAAAATTCCTAGGTCAGGACTTCTCCATATAATATATTAACTATTTAAAGCCAGACTTAACACTTTTTAGCACAGTTTCTTTCCTGTGCACATGCTTGAAAATTCTTAAAAATAAAAAGACAATAATTTATTTAGGTTGAGAATGGTTTTTCATTATTTTGGGACAGCAACTAAGAAACTGAAGTAAATTGTTACTTATAATTATGGCTACTTTTAGAAAAATAGAATTTATGGATGGAATTTCTTCATGGATCAACTGTTTTGCATGTGCTACATCACTGTCTGCTGTCCAGCCATTTTAGTTCACTTTGACGGGAAATACATCACCCATTTCAGTGAAAAAATAAGAGTTACTTCCTCTGAATAAAAAGGCCAAGCCCTGTTACGAAATTTCTGTTGTTTGTAAAATGAACTAAATGTTATGCTTTACTGCTTCTGCTTGGACCATGGCGCTAAGGTGTGGCACAGAGTTTGCAGCAGTGTCACAGATAAACGCTGGTTGACGAGCATCACCTTGTCACCATTTAGAGCATGGTGGCCCTAAAAATACTGCTTCCTTTGGAGGCACAGTAGTCTCTGTTGGGGAGCCATGGAGTTCAGAACTTTAAAATACCTTGAGCCCTAACTCGCGCATCTGTTGAATGCACCAGCAAAAGAAAATTGTGGAAGTGCTTGGGTGGTGTTTTCATTTTGCTTTTATGTGATTGCAGTGTGGCAATTAGTAATTTTAGAGAATAAACAAGATGACAACTGCCTAGCAGCAGAAGGCAGAAAGAAAGAATTCATCAGTGCTGCCGTACTCCCACTCCTGTCGTCCCATTCACATTATCTCAGTCACACACCGTAATTGGAAGTTAAGGCAGCAGCTCTTTTTTACACAGCATAAAGATATACAAATAACAAGCATTAAATAAGAAACATCACACCACATCAAGATTAACAAAAGTAATAATGCTGACCTTGCTAGCACTCAAGTCTTTTCAACCGCGAATAATCTTCCATCCTGACAGGGAAGAGCAAGACACCTAATCCTCCAGCATGTTCATGATAGAAGAATTGCCACTCCTTCCCAATTAATCATTATCTGAGACAGTTCCCTTACACTTGAAAAGATTATTCCTTAGCCCTTGGCCAGCTAAGGTTCCCCTTGTACAGACAAGAGCCAGCTAGAGGTCTCTTAACTCTGTTCCAGCGATAACCCTTGCATTTCAGACCTTGCCCAGGCCCAAATGCCCTCTCCTACCCTGCCTCAAATGGCTGTCAGCTGCCCTTGCCCCAGTGTCTTATAGAAGAGCATATCTAAGTATTTTTTAGGTTTTCTACAGCTGAAAACTAATGTCTAGTTGCAGTTTTTGTAAACACACTTTGGGTAGAGCTTTAGTACGGTATGGAGATTAATGACCCTTAACAGGAGTCCTGCAGGTTTCATTTGTATTCTCTGTGCTGTTTTCACACTTTCAGAGAGCAGTGCTGAACTTCTCAACCACTTTGTCAACCTGACGGTAATTTACATCTCTCTTAATTCATACCGGAATATCTTCAGCTGTGGCTATTTGTTATTAGTTATTCCGCTCCGGAGGGGAAACCCTGGACTCACTGCTGCAGCATCAAGGTCTCAGCACACCCCTCTGTCTAAAAGCACCCATTTTTTCATCCCGTGTTAGTGTCCGAGTGTGTGTATAATAGAAGTCAAGCGCATTCTGTGTTCTGTTTCCATTTCTCACTCAGGACCTAGGTCTCTAAAATCTTTCTCTTTCTCCCTGAAAGGAGAAGAAATGGGTTCCCCCATCCTAGAGAAGTAAATATATACAAGCAGATGAGACAGTCAATAGTGTTTGTATCTATATTCATGTGATTTTTGGATAATGACTAGAAAAAAAGTTGGGAGTTCAAGGCTATACCTAGTGAAATTCTTGCGAAGGCTGATGCAATTACATCCGTGGTTAAAATTATTCAGTGTACAGTGGCAGTGTACACAAACGAAGTTCAGCGCCTCGGTTCTGCAAAGCTGTACTTGCCCTTACCTGGAGGCACTGCCAGTGTCTCTGGAAGGACTGGTTTCCAACCCACCAAGCTGCAGAAACAGCTGCAACTGCTGCAAACTTGGCTGAACTGTGCTGGAGAAAAGGCTAAAGCAGGGGCTCACCGCCTGATAGGGCACCATCAATTTTACAGAAGCGAGGAAACTTCTATTATAAGGCCTACCACCATATCTTTCGAGACCATGGAGCAGCAGAATACAGATGCTGTCAGCTGGAGGGTGGTCTCTATATTGCACCTCCTTGAACTTACTGAGTATCTCTTCCTTTTTTACATATATTGAAGAAGTAGATCTCTTCCTCCAAGATCAGATTAGCTGTCTGTAGGGTACCATTACGTTCTAATTTTTTAGGCAAGGATGAGTAAACTCAGCTCCACTTTCCAATGCATCTTGTGACCACATGGCTCTAGTTACTGCTTTATTAAGAGCAGATAAAAAGCCTTGAGCAAGACAAAATGTATTGACTTTGTCTCAGCCGTGCATTAATGCTGCTAACTGATTTTTTGCTTGGTTTGGAACATCGGCTAAGTGATATAGAATCATAGAATCATAGAATGATATGGATAATGGATAATATCTGTCTGTGAAGGACTATAAAAATATACTCTCAGCCTCAGCACTGGACAGGAGGGTTCAAGTTCAGTTGGTTATTTATAGTTGAATATAAATTCTTCTCAGTTGCTGCTTCCTAATACATAGCCTTTTCCTTTCCCTTAAAATGACACTGTACCCTCCCCACTATATTGTATCTGATAACTGATGTATGTTGTACTTCTCTGAACCAAAACATACAATGATAATTTGCACCCAAATTTGTAAGATATCCAGTTGTTCCATGTAGGCACCTTATTATTTACAGTTCCATCAATATTGATGTGATGTGTGTTATGGCAAATATATCCATTTGAGTATGTATTATTTACAATTACCATTTGAGATCAACAGACTGTAATCAATTCTTTTACTACTGTTACATTGATTTAGTTTGATATTAACCTTTTTATCACAAATTGTGTCTAGCTATTGCTACAAACAGCTAACTCATCTTCAAAAGGTTTGGAATGCATCACAACCCCCCTCCCCCCCCAAATTTATCACATAATCTGCTGCTTTAGTTTGAGGTAGCCAATCCTGTCATATCTTTAACGTGCTTTTATTCTAAACAATCTAACAAGCTTGTTAGATGATGTGATCTACTACGATATTGAAAACTTTCAAGCAATTCTACTGTTACTTCAGATGTGACTAAAATCTCAGATTTTTATCCTTCATCAAGTGTATCCAAATGCATTTTTTTTTCACATTAAGGGACTATTGGGGTATACGCTTTCCCTTTCTGCATACTTTGACAGGTGGCAGAAGAACACCTAGAGAGGCCCAAGCTGTGGGTGATAGGGAAGTAGGCATTTCAGTTTCCGTCTACAGGAATTTATAGCACCTAGAGGCCTGTAGGCTTCCATGAAGCTTGTCCTTAGAAGTTAGTGTGTCCTACTAAATGCTTAAAAGGACAAGAACTGAGGTTGCATCTGGGTAAAATAAGTTTATGAACATCATTATTATATGTATATCTGAGGCAAACTACATGTATATCTAGGGAGGGTTTTTTGATACCTAAATTACCGGTACAGATCTACCATTAAAGAAAGGTGATATGTCTTAGCAGACCAGCTGAAACGGTTGGGGACAACAGACATCTTCTGTCTCAAACCCCCCAGCCAGGTCTGATGAGAAGCAACAAAGCCCCAACAAACCCCAGCTGAGACACAATTGCTCTTCTGCTACGGTGCCTCCACTGGAAGTGTCCAGCAGTGGCACTGGCTTCAGGATCTTCCTCTCTTCTCTCTCTTGCCGTATGCTGTCCTGCCCTCTCAGCTGTGCTGTGCTAGCCCAGCTGGTTTTATTTATGGTATGTGAGCTCCTTTGGATGGGGAAAGATCAACAGGAAGCTTGTAAGAGGCAATAAGAGCCTACATTTCCAAGTCTGTATTTTAAGACTGAGAATCATAAATGCAGTCACTTTATCATGTTGACAGTTTCCCCGCAAAAGAGAATAAAATAACTTCTGAATTTTATATTTTTCCACTTGAATTTTCACAACAGTGAAATTCTGGTAATACTACTACTGAGACTTTCAGTTAAAAATTCATAGTGTGGTTCACAAAAATGCTATGTGCACTGAGAATAAGGCAAGGAGCCCTGGTTTGGATAAAGGAATCACCTTTGTAAAGTAATAAATTTTGTTCTTTGAAGAAGGTTGCTCTGTATTAACATTATTTAAAAGTGATAACTTACAAGATCAGGTTGGATGGGGCTCTGAGCAGGTGTCCCTGCTCACTGCAGGGAGGTTGGACTAGATGACCTCTAGGGGTCCCTTCCAACCCAAACCATTCTATGATTCTATAGTGAGAATGTAGTATTCATTTACAGAAAACTACTTTCCGTATACTTTATTGCCTATTTCTCTAGAACAAGCATTGCTTTTAGTAATCAACTATTTAAATTTGTGTGAGAGGTAGGGGTATTAGCAGTAGTAATAATTATATGAATTGTAGCAGAAGAGTAAATTTTCATGAAATACCTGTTGCTTTCCTGCATTGAATTTTTTTAAATCCAATTCATTGTCTCAGTGGAAATTATAAATATTGCTACAGATTTTTCTTTCTTCACTGGAGGGGACTTGCACATAAAAGGCTTACTTACGTTATTTTTTAAATCATTATATTTTTAAAAGAACTCAGTCTTTAATAAACACTTTTCCTTTTAAAAGAACAAAATTGACAAGAGCATTAGTTGCTTCTTCTGATATATGTACTTCAAAACCATAAGTGTATATGACGTGCCTTACACTTACACTTTATGCTTTAGCAAACTTTGCAAGAAATTGAGAACAGAGAAGTATCTGCAAGGTTTATTTTATTTTAAACATCATGCTCTTTTGTATTAACCCTAATCAAGCATTATACAAAATCTGACAATTTGAATTAAGAAATTGGATATAAAAATAAAATCTCTGTGAGGGCCCTTTTCATCAATAGGAATCTGAAGACATTTTCTAGTAGGCAAAGAATGGCATAGTTGCTGAGGGTTTTTTTTAATATATATTTTTCATTTATGTGATAAAGTATCCAGGTTTCAGAGAGACTGCAAAACTGCATAAGCACTGACCACCAGGAACTGTGGATCTAGTTTTGAAATTCAAATATCAAACCAAAAATACCTGTAACTTGAGAAAGTTTCTCTGCATACTTTCAGGGAGAGGTGAAAGACATCCACAAGCAGAAAAAGAACAGGACTTCTAATATACTAAATCATTATTACTATTATTTTAATGCATTGCATCAGCACAGGCCAAGGATAGATTTGCAATCTTAAAAATGGTAATAACCCTGTAGAAAAGGCAGAATTGT